TTTTAAATAAGATGACCGGTAAGGGGATCTTAACCCTTGACTCGGTGTTGTCAGCACCACGCTCTCCCAAGTGAGCTAACTGGCCATCCCTATATAGGGATCCAAACCTGTGACCCTGGCGTTATCAGCACCGCACTCTCCCAAGTGAACCACGGGCTGGCCCCTGCCACTTCCTTTGTAAGTAACTCTGGAACTCATTTGTATTCTGGTCAGTCCAAGGTGTGCCTGTCCTGGGGCGCTCAGTACAGGTACTCCCAGGCCTTTATCTCGACTGTCTTCAGGACCAGGGGGTCCTGACATACCTGCAGACAAGGAGGGTAGGGGGTATGGCCACCTGGGCAAACTTCACTGTGGCAATGCTTGCTGCAGCTGGGAGGCCCAGAAGGCTTGGAGGGGGCAAGTTAGTGGCCTCTTTTGAGCCCCAATGTCCTCATATGCATATTCAACACCACCACCGATCTTATAAGATGAGGAGGGTTAAACAAGAAAGTACACAGAGTGCACAGTGCATAAAACTCAAAAAACAGCCAGTTCTCCTCTTGCCCAAGTATATGCCAATGCCAAGAAGTCAGCAGAAGCCACAGGAAAGGAGAACCACACACCCAGGGGACACCTCAGGTAGCAGATGAGCCATCCACGATGACAAAATCTATTGGTGACATGCAAAAGTTCCATCAACTACAGAGCTGAATAAAACAGGGGCAGGCATTCACTTCATGTCACCCTGTGGTGAAAACCCTTCCCTGGCTAACTATTGCCTGTTGACTGAACTGGGCCCCTTCACCCTGGAAGGAAAGGTGATCAGGAGACACATACTGCAGGCATAGGTTTGGTCTCTGCCCACAGGCCATCAGCCAGTACCACTCTCTGAGGACTACAGAGCGTGTGACTCATCAGCACAAGTCCCCACGTAACATCCGAGACCACCATCCAGCAAAGGAGGTGGGGGAGTGGGCCTGTGACTGTGGCCTCCACTGGTCATGGCACGAGCCACCAGCCACCTAGGACATGGACAGCCAATTCAAGACACAACTGAGGCACCAGCTCAGGGATGATTCTGGCAAGGAAGGGTCACTGTCCTCCACCATACGGTGCCTGCTGAGGTCCAAGTCCCCAACAGGAACCAAGGGGCCATGTGCTCCACCACACTCAAGTGACCCACCTGGGGAGTCTGTGCTTCCCTCCCTGCAACTCTGGGCCAGGCACTTTAGAAGGTCCTTGCAGCAGAAACCAAGAGACACACTGAGTTAGAGGCTACAGGTGCCACCTGGGCACTTTGGGCTACTTCATGCCAAAGGACAAGCATGCCAGAGGAGGAGCCCCCTGGGGACATGATCAGGAGGAGGGGGACAAAGGGGAGCAGTAGGGAGAAGAGAAGCAGCTGAAGGTGCACCACTCCTATTCAATACAGTGTTGGAAGTACTAGCCAGAGCAATCAGAGAAGAGAAGGAAATAAAGGGCATCCAGATTGGAAAAGATGAAGTCAAATTGTCCCTGTTTGAAGGCAGATGACATGATCCTGTATATCGAACAGCCTAAAGCCTCTACAAAAAACTCTTGGAGTTGATAAATGATTTCAGCACAGTACTACTCAGCTATAAAACAGAATGAAACACTGCCATTTGCAACAACGTGGATGGCCCTAGAGAGAATTATATTAAGTGAAACAAGTCAGGCACAGAAAGAGAAATACCACATGTTCTTACTTATTGGTGTGAAATAAATAAATTCACACACACTCAAAAAAAAAAAACGGGGGGTGGGAAGAAGACACAACAATTACAATTCCTTGAAGTTGACATGACAAGCATACAGAAAGGACATTGTTGGGTGGGAGGGGGAGAGGGAGGAGGGAGGGAGGTTTCGGTGATGGGCCACAGTAATCAACCACGTTGTATATCGACAAAATAAAAAAATAATAATAATAATAAAAAAATAAAATAAAAATATTTTCCATGACAATGTTCCCTGAAAAGTTACGTCTGGGCTGCTCCAAACCCCAAACCGTTTGAGCAAGACAAATGAAAATTTTTGGAAGTTACAGAAACTTAAAAATCAGAATCTTTGAAATATCACGTGGTACTTGGGACTCTTTTTGCAACACTTGAACCCGTTTTGAAGCTCTTTGGAAACTCTGAAATGATACTACTGATAAAAGCCAACCAACAGATTTAAAAGGGAGGAAGAATATAGTCCTTGAAGTTATCAAAGAGCCAAGCCGTTTAAAAACATTTTTGTGCTTTCAACATACTAACAGTTTAGAAGTAACTTTTAAAATAATAGTCTATGCCCTAATGCTTTATTAGGACATAGCATAGAACTCTGTATTATCTATTTATACAAACAAATAAAAAGCATTTATAAAAAAAAAAAAAACCAGCAACAAAGAAAACAAACATTATGACAAATTGAAAGATTGAATTGGCTTTTATGTGGAAATCATGAATTCGGGCAGATTTCACTCTGTAAAATAGAATAAGACCTCCTGCTTGCATGACAGAAGAGTTGGCTTTTGTAAGGAAGAAACAAGGAAACCGAACAATTAAAAAAATTTTTTTAAAAAAGCAACAGATTGGTTAATATCAGTTTACTTTTATTTTAAGGTTTTAAGCAGAGGGGACTTTCTTATTACATCAGCTCAGGTTGACTGGGCCTTTTTCCATGGGTTGCTGTGATTCTCGTGTTTTCAGGAAAAACTGGTGTATTTGGAGATCTATGCTCTTTCTTAAAATTTCAATTTGATTATTTGGTACCTAGTATGAGTGCCTACATTTTGGTTTGTTCTGATCTGTTGGAGCATACTGCAGGAGCCCAATCCAAACCAATGGTCTGCCTTAATCATTGTTTAACATTTTCTTCTAAGAGTTGTTTAGTTGTAGCCATTACCTTCAGGTATTTGACCCATTTTTATTTCATTTTTGTATATGGTGTAAATTAGGGGTCCAACTTCATTCTTTCACATGTGGATATCCAGTTGTCCCAGAACCATTTTTCTCATTGAATAATCTGGGCACTCTTGTCAAAAGTCATTTTACCATTAATGTGTGGCTACCTTTCTGGGTTCTGTATTCTATTTCAGTGGTGTATTTCTGTCTTTGTGCCAGTGCCACCCTGTTTTGGTTACCATACCTTTGAGTATTCATCTGAGGGTTTTTGCATCAATATTCATGCATTAGTCCATCTCTATTGTTTATCACAGAATACCTGAAAGTGGGTACTTTATCAAGAAGTACATTTATTGCATACCATTCTGGGTGCTGGGAAGTCCAAAGTCCAGGGAACTTTTCCTGCTGGTGACTCCATAGTTCTGGTGAGGGTCTTTTCCTGCTGGTGACTCCATAGTGCTGGTGAGGGCGTCTTCCTGCTGGCGACTCAATAGTGCTGCAGCACAAGGAAAAATGGCTGAGCAAGAGAGAGAGCTAAGTTTCTCAGTTGCTCTCCTTTTAAAGCTATCAGAACCACTCATTACTCCATGAATGGATTGATTAATTTACAAAGGCATAGTCCTCACAATCCTATTACCTCTTCAAGACCCCAGCTTTCAATTAAGATAATTGATTTCCCAACTTCTTAACAGTTACAGTGGGGATTAAGCTTCAGTGAGTTTTGGGGGTACATTCAATCTTCCTTCCCCAGTACCAGTCCTGAGAGCGCTCTAAATAAACTTGCTGCCCGCTAATCTGCTCCTCGGAGTCTACTTCCAGGGAACCCCACTTGAAACCAAGAGGGAGGGTAGTAGCTAAGCTTGAAATGCTAGCTGGCTCTCAGGCACATCCCGACCCCAGACCCAGCAAACGCAGAGGTGCAGGTGAGGAGAGGGAGCCTTCCCCTTGGCAGGGCTGGATCCCCCGACTTTGTACTGTATCCACCAGCTATCTTCCTCACCTCGGAGCTCTTGATTCTCTTCCAGGCAGCGCTGAAGTGTCTCAGGAGTGCTCTGGTCTGACTGCAGATGCAGCATGGCGGGCTTCCCCAGAGAAGATTCTTCACCCAGCACGTCCTGGTCCCCTACCAGGCCGCCACTGGGCTGCACCATCTCACACAGCTGATTCTTCCAGAGGTGTCTGCTCATCCAACACGTCAGGGTCTGGAGGAGAAAGGCAGCAGAGGTGTAATGCGAGACTCATGCTGAATTCTCTTACCCGGCAAGACAAGGACTTTACTCTGTGCAAGAGTTGTGGAGCCACATCTTAAGCAGAATGCCAATCACTTCATCTAGTGTGACAGGATGCTAAAATGAGTTTTTGGCCTAAGAGGTAGCAAATACTCCCATTCCAAAGGGAGGTGCCGGACCACCCGTGTGGGACTTGAAAAGGCTATGGTTCAGCACTGGTTTTAAACTGTCTGCCTAGCATCTATCTCCAGGTTGTAAAGTCAAGTTAAGAATTCCTCCAGAGGTGGAAAATTAGGAAGATGATATTTGTGGAGGGGGAATGCTGAGAATCCTACCTCCTACACACAGCACCAAGCAGAAGTGGAGGGTGCTGGCCCAGCACCTAGTGACTGAATAGTAGCCTCTAAAAAGAAAAGTCCACGTCCTAACCCCTAAAACCTATAAATGTGACTTTATTTGGAAAAAAGGTCTTTGCAGATGTAGTTAAATTAAGGATCTCAAGATGAGCTCATCCTAGGTTACTCGGGTGGGTCCTAAATCCAATAACAAGTGCCCTTATGAGAGACAGAAGAGAAGAGAAGGGAACACTTCTCTGACTGTCAGATAGTGTTTCCTGGGTCAATCCTCACATATGTCTCCCAATAAACTTTACAAAGCTTTTTTAAAAAAAAAGACAAGAGAGGAGAAGACAGAGGGAAACACACAAGGGAAGACAGAGGCAGAGACCAGAGTGATGCAGCCATAAGCCAAGGAACAAACAGGTGGAGCCACCAGAAGATGGGCAAGGCAAGAGAGGATCCTCTCCTAGAGCCTTCAGAGGGAGTGTGGGATGCCAACCCTTTGATTTTGGACTTCTGAAGTCCACAACTGTGAGAGATTAAATTTTCTGTTGTTTTAAACCACCAAGCTTGTGGTCGTTTCTTACAGTAAACACAGGAAACTCATACACCTAATAAAAGGGGCTTCAAGGAGACCGCTCAGAGCCTCATGAGTGTTCCCTGGAGCTAGGGGCAGGGGCAGAGGGGACATCTAGTGTCTGACGTGTGCTAAGGAATCTGAAAGTGGGAGCTGGGCTGTCAGCCTGAGACATTGGCCAGAGAGACAGGCTGAGCTGCTTGTGTTCTCTTGTAAACTAGAGGTAGACCATGCGGGACAGTGTCAGCCTGGAGGCCTTTTAACTCTTGCCCAAGAAGACTGACTACCAGGATGACGAGGCCAATCCCAATACAAGTTTCTGGAAGCAGGCCTGAGGTGAGGGACGGTGACTTTAATACCCAATAAACTTGGCTGTTTTGACTATTGATGCTGATACTATCCCAATGAATATCCCACTGACCCGTCAGCAGCAGCAGCCGACCCAGGTGATACCTCCCTCCTCCTTAAGATGCTTTCCTCCCTTGGCTTCCAGAACAGCTCACTCTCCTGGTTTCCTTCCTACCTCACTGACTGCTCCTGCTCAGGCTTTCACTGGATTCCCGCCCCTAGATGTTGGGATGCCTCAGGGCTGTCCTGGGACCTCTTCTCTTCTCTAACTACATTCACTCCTGTAGTAATTCTATCCAGTTTTAACGGCTTTAACCCCAGTCTTAATGCCAATAACGCCCAAAATTAGATCTCTTCCCTGAACTTGACTCACATATCAAACTCAACATCTCTGCTTGAATATCTAACAGTCCTCTCAAAACTAAGTTCTGTAAAACTCCTGGCAGTCCCCAAAAGCCAGTTCCACCCAAAACCTTCCTTACTGTTATCAATCGATAGCAAATCCATCCTCCAGCTACCGGGAAAAGAAATTTACACTTCTTGACTCCGCTCTCACACACACACACACAGCTCAAACCTAATCCATCAGGAAATCCAGTTAAAATGTATCCCAGAATCCATTTGATGACACTAAGCAGTTTAACATTTTAGTGTGAAAATGATACTGTGGTTATGTTTTTTTTTTAAGTCCTTTCTTAGAGAGATGTATACTGAAATATTTACAGATGATGTCTGCAACTCATTTCAGAATAATGGGGGAATTCCTAGATATATATTCAAGAGAAATGAAAACACATCTTCACACCTGAATGCTTGTCACAGCATTACTCATAACAGCCAAAGAGTGGAAACAACCAAAATGTCCATCAACTGATGAATAAACAAAATCTAGCACATCCACATGCTACAACATGCTAAAAGAAACAAGTCATAAAACACTACATGTTACATGATTCCATTTCTATGAAATGTCCAGAATAGGCAAATCCACAGAAACAGAAAGTAGATTAGTGGCTGCTTAGGGGTTGGGGGGAAATGGGGTGAGTGTGGGTGATAGCTAAAGGATACAGGGTTTCTTTTTGGAGTGATAAAAATGTTCTGGAATTAGTGGTGACGGCTGCACAATTTTGTGAATATACTGAAAACCACTGAATTGTACACTTTAAATGGGTGAACTGCATGACATGAGAATTATATCTTAACGAAGCTGTTATTGAAAATAATGGGAGATGATTGTAAGAGGTATAAATTAAAGAAAAATAGCCATAAGTTGATAACTGTTGAAGCTGGAAGATGGGCACATGGGATTTACGACACTAACCTTTCTACTTTTGTACATTTTGGGAGTTTTCAATAATAAAACGCTTAAAGCACCATCGTCTCGTACCTGGATCACTGCAATAACCTCTTAACAGGTCATCCTGCTTGTACCCTTGTTCTCTACAGTCTGTGCTCCCTACCACGGCCACAACGATCAATCTAAAAGGTAATTCCGATCACGTTCCTCCTCTGCTGAAAACCCTACCATGGCTCCCCACAGGCTTCAGAGTAAAAGCCAAAGTCCCTACAACAGCCTACAAGGCCCTGTACTTTCTGGTCCCCCATTTCTACCTGTCCAACTATTCTCCCCTCGCTCACTCTGCTCCAGTTATAGTGGCCTCCTTCCTCTTTCTGGAATATGCCAGATGTCCCATTCATTCTCAGGTCACAGTAATGGTATGAAGGCGAGTAGATATTAATCTTTTTGCAAAGTAAGCAAACCGAGGCGCATGAGATAAGATACTTAGCTACCAAACTATATTTGAGACCTTTTCAAAGAATATAACGGCTTGAATGCATTCAAGTTTGATAGAAAACGTCTCCGAACTAAAAGAATCCTCGCACTAGGAGTACGGTCAGACCCCGCGGCGGCGGCGGCGGAGGGAGGGGCGGAAACAGTCCCGTTCGCCGCTCAAGTAACTTGGGTCTTGAGTACTCCCGTCTTGGCCAGTGCTCTAGAAGCACGCGGCAGGAATGGGCCGGGGGCCCAACAGGAGGGGGTAAGGCCGGGTCCCGGACGTTCGGGGGAGTTTCGGGGGCGGCGGAACTCCCGCCGATGAATCCCTGTCTTCGGGGAAGAGGATCACACCTGTCAGCAGACTCGGTCAGACGTGAGAAGGGTGGGGGCGGAAAGCGGAAAGCGCTCCTAGGGCCTCGGCGCTCCGAAAAAGTCCGGGGTCCGCGGTTGCTCTTCCCTTCTCCGTTGTCCAAACACTCGCTTCCGACTTCCTGTGTCGTAGCCGTGGGATCCGGAAGTAAAACACGGAAGCCCCACCCACAGGAGCCAAGGAGGCTGGCGGGAAGGCGCAAGGCCGCGTCCTGCTCCAGAGGGAAGCCGGAGTCCGCCAGCCTCAGCCGACCGGCAGGACCCTCCCGAGTGAGAAGCACCACTCTCTACTTTCCACGGCATCAAGGTCGACGCTCCCCCTCGTCTCTCAGGCGGCGGCATGCAGCCTCGGGGCGCTCGGCCGCACCGCCCCTGCCGGGGAGGAGCAAGGACTAGGCTGCCCAATGGG